AATTTTAATAATTTGACAACAAAACTTAAAGATGAAAAACCTTAACGAGTAAATTTTACCAATTCTCGGAAAACAATTGCTAAAATGTCTCTCTCAACTTACACTCAATTGTACCAATTGTTACAATTTGTACTAATTGTTACATATTTTTGTGTTATCAAGCATACCTATTGTATTATTGGCATGTGGTTCGGGGCTATATTTTTTAATTATAATTAATTTTAAGTTTTCTTTTTATTTATTTAATTTTATTAAAATTTAAAACATATAAAAAACAATTGCACAAAACAATATAGGTGCATACGATTTTCCTTAATGATGCAATGAGCAATTTTTTTATTTGTTTGTTTCTAAACATGAAAAACCAATAAAATTAATTGTTTCTTATCATCTAAAATAGCATCTAATAATAAACTACCAGCAGTATTTTATAACAGAATATGAATGGCACAGCATAAATGATTTCAAGATCATTATCAACCGTCCTTTTTATTTTTGAAAGGGGGGGTGGTAAACAAAAAGATTTGTCCACCGACCCTCATATTGACAACTATTTACCATTAAGGTCACATGAAGGTGAATGCACACACACAATATATACACCACAGAAGTTTGTTCAACACCAAAGAACGCCGGTCACAATCAAACAATATACAAAATATATAAAAAAAACCTTTTATGCATATATTGATAAATATTAATTATATAAATCAATAAGTATAATAATTTTGCATAACATTATCATTTAAAGGGGAACCATTATCTGCAAATATTCCACTTTGAAGTTCCAATAAGAACATTTATTCTTGTTGACAACAATTTCGTTTGTACATCTCGTTTCGTTTTTTTTCGCCATTTCACCTACCTTTCCTTCAGATGGTACATTCAACATTTTGTCGATATTGTTGTATTTACTTCGAACTGATAAATATTAATTTTATACACTTCCAATTGCTTTGTCACCACTCTAATCTCTTTTCCTTGCCGAAAAAAAACACAAACACAGCACCACCAAAATAAACCTCCCAAAAAATATTAGCCGCGCCAACAGATTTTTGACGATTGACAAAGAAAGAACAACAAACGATATATCGGAATGTGGGGAACAAAACAAAACAAATAACTTCCCAATATAAATTGGAGTCGGCATATTTTCCCTACTTTATTATATTGTGGTAGAGTTGCCATAGTATTTATAAAAAAATAATATGGTTTCAAACATGCTTTATTCCCGTATTTTTATTAGTAGTAAATAATAGCGAAATAAAATACGAAAACAATAATAATGTCAACTTTTAATGGCAATCCTGAGAGAAGTGGAAACCATTTACATTTAGCTACAATTAAGGCCTATAATGTTTATATCGAGCTACAACGTATAAACGCTTTGTTCCCGCAATGATAAAATTTTTTTAATTTATAAAGGAAAAATCAAATTATGCATTATTGTCTAAATTCATATAAGTCACGCAAAAACTGAAACCAGCTGACCATTCACAATGTCGCAGATACGCAGAATGGGAGCTTGAACAAGCTGTGGACGGGAATTTTTCGAACAAACATCCCTTCAGGTGTGATGCATATTTCTCACTCGGTTGTACGAAATTGTTTTTTTTTTTTTCGAAAAGTATCAAAGAAAGTATCATTTTTGAAAAAAGTGGCACAGAACTTTTGAAAAGGTGGCATAAAAAGCTCAGTTTGGGAACATTTGTTTGTGATATGATCCAGTTTTTCAATTTGTGTATTCCCTAGGGTTGATGGTGGCAAGGGTTGAGAATTCCCCATAACAAACAAATGTTCCCAAACTGAGCTATCATGGAACCCCACCATAGCACCGCATTAGGCTTGAATGTAATAGATTTTAACAAATCCCAAGCCTGTATCCAAAAAGTCATTGTAGATTCTATTCGATGCCCAATGGACGCCTCAATTGGGAAAAAGACGGGTCTTAGGCGCACCATCTTGTATACGGGAGCTATACCTATATCTTAACCGATTCTCAACAATTTGGATAGGCTAAACAAATGAGACGTACTAAAATGCATCCTATTCGGATAATTAATGCTACATTCATTTGGGTAAATTGCAAAAATTAAAAACTAAATTTCACTTGCACAAATTAAAGCAAAAGGGTTTGTAAGTCTGCTTTTGCACAGGCAAATTTTTATTTGGCAAATACTGAGTTTGTAGGCGAGAGGGGTGCGAGGAAGAAATACAAAAATTTGCCTGTTCAGAATTTGCCGTACACGCAAATTCTGCTTTGCTCTGTTCGTTGAAAACAATTTTGTTGACATTTCCTTTTGAACCTATTCGCTTTACTGACACACAGCCGGCTTTTGTTTACAAACCTGTTGCTTTAATTTGTGCAAGTGAAATTTAATTTTTAATTTTGCAATTTATATAATGAAATATATAAAAAATAAATAAAATATTAAAAAATCTTTAAAATGCAAACACTTTTGACGTTTTTTTTTCTTTCTTTTGTATTTTGCTAATGGAAAAGCAAGCGAAAATTTCAAAAGAGAAAACAAAAAATTTGCCAAATAAAAATCTGCCTGTGGAAAAGCGGACTAAACAAAAGCCGGCTGTGTGTCAGTAAAACGAATAGGTTAAAAAGGAAATGTCAACAAAATTGTTTTCAGTAAACAGAGCCAAGCAGAATTTGCGTGTACCGCAAATTCTGAACAGGCAACGTTTTCTTTTTCTTCCTCGCACCCCTCTCGCCAACAAACTCAGTATTTGCCAAATAAAAATTTGCCTGTGGAAAAACAGACTAAATGTTCATAAAATAAACAAAAAAGGTATCACAAAATCGAGTTGATATCTTGTACAAATCGACTCATTCAGGAATTTATAGGACATTCCAATAATCGAACTATAGATCTCTAACGAAAAAATACAAAACAAAACAAATAAATGAGTCAATCGTCGTAATTTATTTTTGCCTTGTGATTAAAAAATTTCGACGCATTCTACAATGGGTGGCTTATGTTCATCATGTTTTGGCAGCTCCTCCGAGGAGTCCAATTTAATGCCATCGCCAGTAAGTAAAACTTCGCAATAATAATAACACAAATGTTTGCTAAATTTGCAATTGTAGGAAACCAGGCGAAAGCAACAATTGGAAGCAGCGGAAAGACGTCGTATGGAAAATGAAACAAGAGGAATAAAAGATCCGGAACGGGTCAAGCGACAACAAATGCGTAGCGAGGAAATGCAGAGACGTGAGGAAGAAGCAGCACGTACCGGTGGTGGACAACCTGCATTGAGGGTTTGTGTTTAATAAATTCTAGGTCGGTCTCATAATTTAATATTAATCAAATTTACTTCTACAGTGGCAGCAGGATTAAATCAGATTTGAAGAATTCTAAAATCAAAAGTCTGACAAAAAAAGAAAACAAAACATTCGTAGTGAATGTGGGCATTTAATTTCATTGTTTACATACAACAAACCCCTCACTACAAGATTCGGGAATATTAATAACGTTCGGAAGCCAATATTTTTCTTTTGGGTAGGCGTAAAATGGATCGGGGATCAATGACCTTCAATATTATTTATGGAAAACAAAGGAATATTTAACAAAACCAAAAATCATATACCCTACATGTCGAAAAAAAACATACATATACACTACTATTTATATATCTGAAGCCATACAAGTGATTATCTTTATTACACCAATTTTGTTTTTGTTATTTTTTATTGTTGCACATACCTACATATTTCGTTAAATTAAGCTTTTCACCAAAAACTATTTATATATACATTTATATATGAAAATAAATTTGTATTTTTCAATGTTATTAAATGAATGAAAACTGTATTGCTTACCATATTGATTTTATTTGTTTAACTTGGAGTAGAATTAAATTAGAACACTGTATTCAGCCTTCTGGACAATGTTTAACCCTTAACTGGCAAATGCTATACCAGGGGCCAAGAATCTACTTGATTTTACTATTTTTGTCGATACAGTAAAGGAAAATTTGTTATCGTAGTAAAATTTGTAGAATAGATCAAAAAGAAAAATATCATTATTCTATAACATATTTTTGTTATAATCGATTGCTGATGCGACAACTTATTAAATCTACCTCGGGTATTCGGATCTGGATTCGATTACAACAAAATACTGCTAGTATTTCTATTCCTTGGTCTGTTCCCTTACTGCAAGAATCTACTCGAGTTTACTATTTTCTTCGATATCATAAAGGAAAATTCATGATCGTAGTAAAAACTAGTAGATTCTTGCAGTACGGGAACAGACCACCTGATTTGTAGAGTACATTTACATTTAACCGGATTTCGTTAACCCAGTGGGTTTCAATTGCCAATTCCTTTGCATATATCAACGCCTCCGAAGAATAGTATGCTAAGTCTGAAAAGTAAGTTTTTCAGTAGAAGCTCTCAAAGTATGGAAGTTTCTTATATCTTACGTGCCATGCTAAGTAAATTTTTGTTATATCTGTGGTTTGGATTGGCCAATGATTACCAAAATTTTAGAGAATTTAAATTAAGGACCGTAGTATCTAAAAACGTAAAGAACTTTAAAACATGCTGAGACGTCGATATGCCACATAAATCCTCATAAAGTAGGTTATCCCGGTAAAAAGTTCTAATGTATATGGCAAAGAAAAGCTTTCCGTTCTTCTGGAAATGTTATATAGTAGTTGTTGTGGAAAAACGCGGAATTGACAACAATGGAGTTGAAAATTTAGTTGGAACGCTTTTAAATTAGTTAGGTTAGCTCTCCTAATCAATTTTGTTTTGATTCCGAAGTTTGTTTTGATTCTGGTTTGTCAATTACGTTTCAAGCCCGATTTCGTCTAATTTCGCAACGCCGTCGAAATAAGAACTAATTTAAAACGCCGGTGATTTTAAAATTTCCGGCATTGAAACCAGAATTCTTCGTATTTCACTCCCGTATTCTTTGTTTGTTTCATTTTTTTCTTCTTATTTCTATTTTTGTTTTAAATAATTTTATTAAATAATTTAAATAATGATAAAATTTGTCGTACTAATTAATTTACTACAATTAATATGGTTAATTGATTGTAAAATTTACAAGAAAGGGCCATTGTTGGACAACAGCGTAGAAGAGAAATGGAACGGATTGTGGTTCCCCAAGCCACCAAATTATCATTATGACGTAGTATCGGAAAAAGACAATGTGGCAGATATAGATTCGTGGCAGGGAACATGGTTCCCACACGCTCCCGGAATTTCGGACAATAAATACAATACGAAGGAAAGTAATGAACATACTTGTGATAATGGAAAGGTGAGTGGATTTGTGAACAAATTAGGCAATAAGTTCTAACTTCCTTTTTTTCTTTTATAGGATAATATAAACATTGACTTTGATCCCGAGGACAAGCGACACTCGTATAACTACTTGTGTTTGGGGAATCGTACCGTATTTGAACCAAATTTTAACACTACTACCATTTTGATAGAGCATTTTGTGCCTGCGGCCTATCAACCAGCTGCCAAGTGCTTAAATGAAACTATTTCTTATGGGGATTCATTGCCAACATTGTAAGATTGATTTGATTTCAAGTCCAAGTATAAAGTTAAATTATTTATTTGATCTAATTTGTTTTTTAGCGGTCCATATCGTCCTTTGGCACCTAAATTTGGCAATTATAAATACTTACCACCACAGCGTTGGCTTAGAAGTTTGTCCGATGGCGGTATTGTTATGTTATATCATCCATGTGCCTTTTCTGGTCAAATTAAACAGTTGCAAAATATTTTACAAGGTTGTCTATATCGACACATTATTACCCCTTCACAATTATTAACTCCACAAAGACCCCTGGCCTTATTGGCATGGGGCAAGTGCCTTCAGATGTCGGTTGTTGACGATAATACAGTGGTGAATTTTATCAAAGAAAATGCCAAATTAGGTTTAAGAGGCCAGCAAACAAAATTGAATTTATCATCTCAACTGTACGACGCAGGACTACTAACAGAGTCTCACTTAGTTACAGACGAACAGGATTCTGAAATATGTGGATACAAAGATATGTGATCATGTTGTTATATTGTATGATTTTTATAAGTAATATATTTATCGATTGTTATTAGAAAATATTTATGTAATTAAAATAAATGTATAGTTTTATAAAAAAAAATCCAACATTCATAAGTTTCCCTTCGTAAGCTAACAATTTTTACCAAGGTATGACTGGTAATTTAATTGTGACTTTTTCAGAATTTGGATTCAAAATAAAACGTCCGAAAGTATTCACAGTTCTTTCCGAATTTCGGATAAAACCCGATAGTTTTCCGAATATTAAACGGCATATACATTAGAACTTTTTACCGGGTTAACCTACTTTATGAGGATTTATTTGACATTTATGGAAAGGAATTGACAATTGAAAACCACTGGATTAACGAAACCCGGTTAAATGTAAACGTACTATTAGATCAAACTATCTAATAGTTGAGAGTGTCCGAAGTTGAAAGTGTCAAACTGTTGAAGAGTGTACGAAAATATTCCTATTATCTGCCAATTTTCAAATGTTCTTTTATAGCTTTGTCCGAAATTGACCAAGAAAACGGAAAATTCCTTCACTACATTTTTTCCGACAAAACATTCCGAATTTGTGCACACCTTCCCACAATTTTGTTCCAATTTCAGAACGAATTCCTCATAAGAATTGGAAGCTTTCGAATTCGAAAAATAAATTCAACAAACAAATCGTTTGCTGGGATATTTTTATGTTTATAAATCGGCTTCACGATCAATGTTCAAATTGCTTTATTATCAAAATAGCAAAAACAGAGATTCGTTCCGAATTCGGAAAAGAATTGGAACAAATTACTAGCTGGGATATTTGTAAAATTGTATAATTCGGCTTCATGATCGAAGTTCAAATTGCTTCAATACCATAATAGGTTTCGATAAATCTTCATCATCTTATATCACACTGCTTGTTCTGGTTGAGTCCGGAAGGAAACTGCCACACTTTTCCAGCCATCGGGAACACTTAGGGTGGCTTACGACAAATTTAGTTAGGTACTGTACTACTAGTACCACATGCTTTAATATCACAATAGAGATGATATGTTGGGTAAAATATTTCGCGTACTTCTTCAGATCTGTCACCTTAATGTACGTTTAGATTTACGAAATCCACTCGATCTCAAATGTCAATTCCATAGTGTATAGGTCAAATATAATCCACTGGATTATCGTGACGTATACGCAATGGAATTGACGTTTGAGATCGAGTGGATTTAGTAGTCTAAACGTAGCTTTAGTGCTTGTAAATGACACGGAATTCTGACTATCCATGCTTACAGGGTTCGCGAGCGACTACCGTTATCAATGTTGCAACACTACAGATGTTTTTAACCATTTTCCGCTTATGAGTTGATATTGATATGTCCCCTGGTGGGTACCCCTTTCAGCGCCAAGACCCTTTGAACGGAACACTATCATTAATCAGGGGCATGAATGTTCAGATTATTGCCCTACAAAAGATGTTCCTTTATACAATATAATGGGAAAAACAAGTGCGCTCTTCGAGAACCTGCAAAAATCTTTTATTAATTTTTAAATCTCCTATATTTTCCTTTATATTTTTGAATAAATAAATTTAAATCATAAATTTAAATTTCATATCGTAACGTTCCCTTTCGACGCCACCATTGTATTCATTGTGTCAATAGACACCAAATATATTCGACTTCTTTTGTTGACTACTCGTTTGTAGAAATCGATAGCAATTATCAAATAACCACCGCATAGTTTCAACAACAATACAATTTGTATCTCTCCATTGCTCTCACCAGACATCCATACGAGCGCTGCTGTTGTAATTAATTTACTTTTTTGATTTTTACGGTATCATAAACAAATCTATCTCTTATTGGGTTAGTTTATTTCGGACTTAACGTATCGATCAGTTCTTTTCAGTTCCCGTGTTCGTGTCAATTGTTGCTTGTGCCGTGGTGTTTGTGTGTGTGTGCATCTGTGTTTTGCCGAACCCCACATACAAAAACTCTTTCTGGAAGCAAAAATTATTGTCTTGTATACCCCTTCTGTCACCGCTGGCTGCGTTCGTTCGTTTGTCAGTTCGTTCCATCACTCATTTGTTGTTGTTTTGTTGTTAATTGACAAAGGCAGGCGAGAAAAACAAACACACATAGCCGCCGCATAGTATTTTTTACAAATCAATCGACCGACTGCTGCCGCTGCTGCAACACTTCAACGACGACGACGGCGAAAGGAGAAAAACAGCAATAACACAAAACTATAAGACAACACAACGAATAAAACGAAACAACATTCAATAGACATCACGTGAGCATTACGTGAGCGAGAAAAAGCACAAACGGATTTGAGTGCAATTTTGTATCTTCCTTTCACTGTTCTTGACATTTTCAAACAAATTTACAACACACTCGCTTACGGTGTGTAGTAAAATTGGCGAAAGGAAAATAAAGTTACAGAAGTAACAGCAACTAACACGATTGAGCTGGGAGAACAGCTGTTTTTCTTGTTGGTGTAGTGTGTCACACGAACGTCACGTCAATTAGTAATTTAAAACAAACGAAGGTCGCAAAACCCCCAACTCAACAAGAAGGATGAATAACCTATCAGATACTCCTGTTCCCGATCCCGGCTCCAATGCTGAAAAAAAGGAATCGAAACAATCTAGTGCTTTAAAGAAAACTAGCCGATATCGTAGTCGTTCATTGTCGGCTTCATCCACCGATTCATTTTCATCTGCCTCATATACAGGCAGCTCGGATGACGGAGATGATGTACCACCACGAGAAAAGGTCCAAAAGAACTCCAAAGGCAGCTCTGATTTTTGTGTTCGCAACATCAATCAGAACGCCTTTGGTCGGCGAGAAATTGAAATCGCGGAACAGGAAATGCCTGGCATTATGGCTTTGCGCAAGAGGGCAGCCGATGATAAACCACTGAAGGATGCCAAAATTGTTGGTTGCACGCACATTAATGCCCAGACAGCGGTGTTGATAGAAACTCTCATTGATTTGGGTGCATCAGTGCGTTGGGCAGCATGCAATATCTATTCCACACAGGTATGTTCTCATATAAAAAGGTAGTTTTGAAATGTGTATCAAATGTATGGAGTGTGGCCAAATAGCACTTCCATATGTTGCATTGCATTTTTGAATACTGTTGTTGCATTATTTTATAAAAGTTTCAGTAGTTTTTTTTATAATTAAAATAATAGTTATTCGAGAATACTATTTGTAGTCGAAGATATACTGTCGGTCTATTATCTAAAAACACGTTTGATCTATGCAGTTGTATGTTATTAGAAAGCCTAGTGGTAGTAGGTATTTAATCAGGAGAAATTCATACTTTCCAAAAAGTGTATGTTTTCAAATATCCCCGAAAATCGGGTAATTTGTAAAGACATTTAAATTAAAAGTGACCAATTTAGGACTTATCCAAAGGATATATTTATAAATCCGCTTTCAAATTACAGCTTTTTAGAAGAATATTTTAATTGATAAGAAAACTTCTTTTTGATTCTCCGAACAAATTATTCGTTATTTAAATGAAAGTTTTCAAAATTTAATTCAGTATTCGATGATTGTTATCAAAATGAATATTTTAATATTCGACTCAATTTTTCCATTTAGATACAAAAATAAAGCAATTGACCTGTGATGGCTTTATAGTTGTAATATGTATCTACGAATACGAGGGCTACTATATGTATTTCTAGTCAAATGGGAATATTTATCATCAAAAATGGACAAAGAAATTTCGCTCTAACCAATTGCCGTAGCAACTTTTCAAAACATTTGAGGGAATGAAAGGAAAGGAATTAGAAGCCAAGTCAGAGAGGAACGACGTATAACCCATCAATTCCACGATTTTGGTCGATTAAAAATGCGCTGGTTTGAGCCAATGTGTAAGAGCTTGATGTCAAGTTGCACTCTTGTTCTTTTTTTTCGAATTCCCCTGAATACTACTGATAAAAATTCCAGAATTGACCTCCCACGTTACCCAAGCGAAACAGTCACTATATCGCTCATTTGCTGCAAGACAGACATAACTCAGCACAATACTTTTTTAGCGATTGTCAAAATGTGCGGGATCCAATAACAACCCTTATCTATAGTCAGATGGGCAATATCCAATGTTCGTGGAAGAAACCCCAAGAATGCATCTATATAACGGCGATCTTTATCAGTTCACGCACGGCAATAACAAATTTTAGTATAACAACCTTTTAGGCGACCTTCGTCTTTGAACGAGCGTCTAATTCATTAAACCAAATTTTTAATGTTAATTCCATTATTTTACCAAATTTCTTTACTGATTGAGTCATTGTAAACAACACAAAACATGTTCATTCATTTCCAATGAAAATTTCAGGTGGCCCAAGGCAAACTTTTTTTCGTATTTAACGTTGTCCTCGGAATGTTGTTGAGTATACTCCGAAGGTTATTTGGCCGCTATATCGCCATGAACATTTACAGATTAAATTTTATTTTTCCAAAAACTTAATTAAAACATGAGTTTTATCGAATCCATATTTGTTAATGAAATCCACCGTGAATACTTAATTTTGGATACTCGGATGAAAACTTCTCTCATGTGTAAAGTTTTGGGAGTAAAATAATATATGATCAGAGAATCTAGCACAAAGGGCCAAAAGCGATTCAAAAAACAACAAAATATAAACTACTCCAAAAATTTCGGTGTTGTTAATTAGGCGATGTCACACAATGAATGTCATAGTAGATAAAAATTCACAGCATAATTTTGTGTCCTGCCAATAATAATTTTTGAGTAATAACACACCACCTTCTTGATGCCTCCAGATTATTTTTTTCTTACTTTTCAATACAAATTTAAGTAGAATAATTGCATTCACAAACACATTTATATTCCCAAAAACCCAATAATTATCATAAATAACGAAAGTAAAAAAACACACACAATTTTCCCATCATCCACAACAACGATTGTTAAATGAGGAAAATGTACGTGTCTTCTTGCGACACTATTAAATGTGATGTCATTACTGTCACATTATTTTTATTATTACAATTATGGAAACTTCTACGTTTACAATAATGCCAAATAATTAGAACATTCAATTGCTGCAAACAGAAAAAAAAGTATATTTTTGCTGTAGAGTCATGAGACTTTCCCAAAGATTGGTTGGTTTGTTGTCGGATACTCTAACATATCATTAAGTAAATGTTTACCTATTTATACATATGTTTCTATAGAATGTGTGTTTTTTATCTAATATCTATTTAACTTCATTGGCAAGTGCAAGAAAGTAAAATAAATTGTTAGCTAATGCTATATATTTATAAATTTATATTAAACACATCCAAATTGTTTAATTATTGATAAAAACAACACCAACCTAGTTTTACGTTAATAATGTGTAAATAATGACTTTGCATATAGATGTATTTTTCCATATGTGGAAAACTTAATTTCCAATTTATAGGAAGGTTTTTTTGACAGGTGTTTTTTTTTTTTACATGAGTTAATGATGAGACAATGTCATTCATATATGCAAAATAAAGTCTCAATTTACTTCTGTGTATTGTCATCTGCACATACTGCCTCTTATCTAACATGTTTAGCTTTTTTTAATGTGGAAAATATATACCTAAGTTCTTTTATATTTAGAAGACCAAGGGGGGCTAACCAATCTATGGAAGACAGTACTTATATAAAAGGACTCGATTTTTCTATGAAAATGTTTATTTATGTTTATGCCCTAATTGTGAGGTCCTAGCTGCAACGTAATTGGAGCTATAAACTCTATTTATTCCAAACTTCATTTAATTCTATCAATGGCGATTTAGAATGCAATGAGAAACAGGAACTTAGCAATTTTATACTTTAGGAATGACTAAAGGCATGAACATTAAAATATCCACAGGATATACAGTGGTGGTCACAGAATTAAAACATTTACTGTGGTAAACATTTTTTGATCAGCCCTCGATTCGTTTGAAGTTTTTTTTGAAAATTTTTTAATTCAGAACACTTCGATATACTGCACTTAAGAGATTTAGTGTGAAAATAGAAAATTATTGCATGCAATTTTTCCATAAATAACGGATTTTATGAAAATACATCGACTTTGAAGTGGCCATATAATTAAAACATTGTGTGGGATTTTTTACTTTACTGCATATTTTGAAAATATTTTTAGAAATACTCTTTAATTTAGTTAAATTATGTAAACTAAGCACCGATAAAATCGTTTACAGATAAATTTTTTTGAAAAAATCTGTAAATCTATCAAAATGGCCAAAAATTTGTACAGTACACCTTACATTCAGATAATCACCCTTATTATAGAAAATAAAGGTCCGAATGCACCAGAAAACAATAAATAATTCTCAAAATAAATAAATATTTGAAATAAAAACTCAAAAAATGGGAATTAACCTAAAGGAACGATTCAATTTCAGTAGCCTTTACTGAAGAAGGCCGGAATATTTTTGCAGTATGTGAGAAAAAATCGATTGATATTGGTATTTATTATATCAAATCGACTGTTCGAGTAGTACAGAATATATTTTATCAAAAAATATATCTGTAAGAACAGAACGAACAGAGATCAACGCCTAGGTCGACGAGTAAAAGTTTCTGGCACACAGCAGCATTTTTGATGTTCAACTCAAGACTTCAAATTTTTGTCAAACTGTAAAATGTTTACTTCCTTGATACTAAAATAGATTAAGTAGAAGTTATTCGATTCAAAAAATATTATTTTGGAAAAATATTGTCATGTTCAATAGATTTTAAGTGTCATGAGTTGACCATCAAACATGCTGCTGTGTGCCAGAAACTTTTACTTGTCAACCTAGGCGTTGATCTATGTTCGTTCTGTTCTTACAGATATATTTTTTGATAAAATATATTCTGTACTACTCGAAAAGTCGATTTGATATAATAAATACCAATATCAATCGATTTTTTCTCACATACTGCAAAAATATTCCGGCCTTCTTCAGTAAAGGCTGCTGAAATTGAATCGTTCCTTTAGGTTAATTCCCATTTTTGAGTTTTTATTTCAAATATTTATTTATTTTGAGAATTATTTATTGTTTTCTACTAATTCTAGCAATTTCTGGTGCATTCGGACCTTTATTTTCTATAATAAGGGTGATTATCTGAATGTAAGGTGTACTGTACAAATTTTTGGCCATTTTGATAGATTTACAGATTTTTTTCAAAAAAAAATTATCTGTAAACGATTTTATCGGTGCTTAGTTTACATAATTTAACTAATTTAAAGAGCTTTTCTAAAAATATTTTCAAAAAATGCAGTAAATTAAAAAATCCCACACAATGTTTTAATTATATGGCCCCTTCAAAGTCGAGGTATTTTCATAAAAACCGTTATTTATGGAAAAATTGCATGCAAAAATTTTCTATTTTCACACTAAATCTCTTAAGTGCAGTATATCGAAGTGTTCTGAATGAAAAAAATTTCAAAAATACTTCAAACTAATCGAGGGCTGATCGATATATGTTTACCACAGTAAATGTTTTAATTCTGTGACCACCACTGTATCTAGAAATTTACCATTAAGAAAACTTTCATCCTATGCAGTCTAATGTTAGAAAGTCTAGGCGTAGAATTTATACTTTATTGCTGGGAGAAGTATGTACTCCAAAAATTATATCGCCACTATTCGCCCAAGATCGGCCTTCTAGAGTGCAATGAGAAAAACAAACTTAGCGAGCCTCATATTTTAGGCATGCCTAAACGACTGAACATGGAAATATAATGGATAATGTCTCGGAGTGCATGTCATCTTACCTGTAAACATTTCATATCTGGATTGGTGGTAAAAAATCAGATAATACATTTGAAGCTAAGAGAGGGCAATGACTCGAGCATCTACTCATCTTTAATAATGTAAGAACTAGAATAATATAGTACTTACAGAAATCTATTCATGGATTATTTTTTTTTATTTATTTATTTATTTATTAAATTCATTCTTTAATACAAAAGCCTCCAAGGCCAATAAATAGTATTAATATAACACATCATTCTAAGTAGAAAACGTATATC